TGAGAGCTGCCTCCAGTGTTTCGGCTGTATACTTTTTCTTTGACATTTTTTCTAAAAAAAATAATTTTTCTAAGTTGTGAAACTAATAATTCTTAAAAAATACGATACTTTTAAAAATTTACTCTAGAAATGATAATTAATATGTTTAAAATAAAAGAATTGTAAACAAACTCTTTTTTTATTTTACTTAAACTCAAATATGGCTATAGCACAGAATAATGAACGTATGTAAAATGTCTTTGAACCTAATTCCGTTCATCTAATTTCGAGTTATAAAATAGATTATTTTGAATTTTCTCTTTGATCTCATGAATTTAAACTATTAATAATTCAAATGATATGAAAATCTGCTAATCTTTATGTAATTACTATTAAAAATAATAAAATAAAAAAAAGCCATAATGTCGCAATTCGTTTAAAATTCCAAGCGTAGTTACAATTTAAAAATAAAATATTTCTAAAATGGTTAGTAAAATACTAGCACATAATTACCTCATTTGTTAATTTATAATTTCATTTTTTGTTATAAAATATAAGCTTATTTAATACTCTTATCAAATTCATTAAAATAAGTATAATATAAAACAATTTAATTCCCTATTTACGTGTGTCACACGGAATTATGTACTTCGTGTGAGAAGAGTGAACATAATTCCGTGTACTTAAAAAAGTGTTTTTTATGTAAAAAACATTTTTAAAAATAACTCAGCAATAGAACGTATAATTAGAATAGGTCTTAATTAATCGAAAAATGAAAAAATAAATTAAAAATACTCACACTTCACTTTTATTATCCTTAAGAAAATCACCTCGAGTCGTAGCTGTCACTCTAACCATACCGTATTGCACAACGCGCAGTCGTCGACTGACTGACAAAAACTTTTATTTTGAATACGTAAACAAAATAGATGCAATTAAAACACTGAATATTGATATAATAAATAGCGAAGTTTGTGCTGAAATTTTTCACTTGTTGAAATATTTTATCAATTTCTTATTTTTATTAATATATAGAAATTGCACGGAATAAAGCTATCGAAATATATGATTCTATCTTTATTCTTTTTATATGCACACCAATGTGTACCAGGACCATCTTTATCATCTAGATTAACTCCTTGAAAATATGGAATTTTTAAACGTTTTGGAAATTTTAATAAATCTAAGTCTGTTAGCGCACGGTGAGGTAGCTTTACTTCAAGTTTTTTGACTTTCATCCTTGTCCTACTTTGTATGGTTTTAGATGAAGGCCTACTCCTGCTTTATATGGTTTTAGAAAGAGACCTTTTCCTAAGGACGAATTTGCATCATTTACAGCTTTTGCTATGCCAGCTGCTCCCCCTGCTAGAGCATCTGTTGCACTTAAACCCGCAAACAAAGGAATAAGAAAAGGTAAAATTCCTCCCACTTTAGAAGGTATCGGTAAAACTCGAGTTTTATTAATTTTTCGCCTGCCACCAGCAATTATAACTGCTAAACGTGCACCTTCAAGTGCTGATTTAATAGTAGACTGTGCATTTGTATCTAATTTCATAGATTTTTTCGCTGCGGTTACAATCTTCCTCAACGTTGATTTTTTATTTTCCTTCTTTTTCTTCATATTTTCTTTTGACTTGATTCCCATATCAAATTTTGATTTGACCTTCATTGCATTTGTTATTGCGTAAGTTGCAGCTCTTTCACTATACTTTGCGTCAGGAGCAAACACACGTTGCCAAGCTTTGTCAGCAAGTACTCTATCAGCTGCGTTTCTCGCTTCTACACTTTTCCTATTTTTTGAATAAGAAATATCGTGCTGTTTACAAGCAGCGTCGAGAGGGTTGATTCCTGGATCACCTCGTGCTAATCTTTTTAACAATTTTGTTCCTGGACCACAGTATTGATAGCCAGGTATATGAAGTTCAAACGGTAATTTGTTGATAATTTTATTCAAGACACCTCTACCTCGTCTTACTCTTTTGGAAGTTTTCTTTAAACTAATTTGTCTTTTATTTACACCCATATTTATATTCTTTACGGTAAGAAAAGTTTTTCAAGACTAAAGTGGAAATCTATATAACCAATGTATTTATAGTTTTTTGTCATTTGACTACAAACAGTTGACCTTTAATGATCTAGCTAAAAAATTATAACAGTAATAGTCAATTATCACAGTAATCTCCTATAATATTAACATATTCGTCGTCGTTTTGTCGTCCGTCGTTCGTGTACTTCCGTACTTCATCGTTCGGTCTGTAAAGAAAAAAATTTTAAGAAAATTTTTAGATTAGTTACATTTTTCAAGGAAATCGATTAAAATTGTATTAAAAATAATTGAAATTTTGCGATGACTTTTATTATTTCTGAGAGAAAGATTTTTATAAACATTTTTAACAATAATTGTACTTTTAGGAAGAATGTTTTATCTTCTATAATATTAACATATTATTCGTCGTCGTTTTGTCGTCCGTCGTTCGTGTACTTCCGTACTTCATCGTTCGGTCGTTCGACTTTCATCATTTATCATTTATTCATAGTATCGTATATGGGCAAATCCACGGAGTTAGTCGACATTTACTTACAAAAATGAAAATTTTTAAATTGAAAGCACACCACTCATTTACGGTTCATTTTTTTCAAAATTTATTTTGGAACAATTATCTTCTTGCGTGATTCATTTTAATTTAATGCCGTGCAAAATAAAAATAAAAAACGAAAATATGAGTTTTTTCAGAAAATACAATTAAAAATGTGTATTTCTTTCTTCTTTTGTTTTCTATATTAATATGTGAAAAACATGAATAATTTTATTATTTCTGTTTATTATTCATTATAATTATTTATTTGTGTAAGACAATTAATATTAAAATATATTTATGATTAATATAATAATTTATTAATAACATCATTTTGGCATCTATTTTTTAATTCTGTTAGTTAAATTATCTTAATTTTGACGAAAGTCAAAATAAAAAGAACAGATGAAAAGTTATTCAATTTTTCACATTGACTGATACGTTCATAATGAACTAAATGAATAAATAATGTAAAATTTTATTGTAATTCTTAATTTTCTGTCATTATAAATTAGAGGTAAAATTTGGCATTTGAATATAAGAATTATAAAAATGCTTTCTAATAATCACCCACGTTTTCAATTTATTTTATTTCAATCTGTAGATGTGCTCCTAGAAAGAGGCTAAGTTTAGAGTTGTTCACGCTCAAGTCTAAGGTGATAGTTATTGTAATATTTTCTTTAATTCTAAGGGCACATTATTTTAAAATACCCAGATTTATTCGTCTGTTTAAAACGAATAAGTGCGGTTGTCAAAAATTTTAATTGAACAATCGCCACGAAATTTATAATACAAATTTTCCATAAATTTTGTTATTAAAAAATAATGAGTAACGCTATTTTCAAGTATTACAATTTCTTTATAATTAAGAGCACATCTTTTTTTTATCTTTCAATACATTCTACAAAAAGTGAAGTTCAATTCACCATCGTTTCGAATTGTTTCGTTGTATGCCAAAAAAGTTATGCCCATAAGAACAGAAACTTGTACCTAGGGTAACACTGCAAATTTCATGATTTAGATTAATTTACTCTGTTTTATTATTTATATAAGGCAAGTAGGCTAACATTTATTTAATTTTCTTAGTTCAATAGATTCTTAGATCTTTTCTAAAGTAGTAAAAACATGAAAATAATCAGTAGAATACTTTGAAAATATAAAGATTTGCCAGTAACATGAAATCGAACGGTTCGGTGGATTTACCCATATACATATACTCATTGTACATACATATACGCATGTGCAGTAGTGTTCTATAAATATCAGACATGCGCAGTAGTGTTCGGACAATGTTACGAGTAGTAGAGCTATGGGGATCCTGGAACACTAACCGAGGTCGGTAAAGTAGATTTCTTAATTGGACAGTTTCAAGTGGCTTAGAGGGGATGTTCTACTTTACCGGCCGAGTTTTTAGTACCGGCAGCCACCGCTAGATGGCGCCACCGGTGAATTCAAACCCCCTTGGCGGGGTATTTAAATTTTTATTTTTAAACTTTCAAGTGGCTTAGAGAGGGTGTTCTACTTTACCGGCCGAGTTTTTAGTACCGACAGCCACCGCTAGATGGCGCCACCGGTGAATTCAAACGCCCTTGGCGGGGTATTTAAATTTTTTTTTAAACTTTCAAGTGGCTTAGAGGGGGTGTTCTACTTTACCGGCCGAGTTTTTAGTACTTAACACCGGCAGCCACCGCTAGATGGCGCCACCGTTAAATTCTAAACCCTTTGGCGGTATATTTAAATTTTTTATTTCCCAATTTTAAATCCCTTGGTATTTTTAAATTTCCAGCTAAAATTAACGACTGAGTTTAATTAGAGGTTGCCTTCGAAAGATGGCGCCACTTTCGATTATCGGCCAATACCCTTTGTGTTCTACCATACTTATCTTACTTACCTAAAGTTACCCTATAATAGACGCTCACTCCATTAGGCATGCGGTAGGAGTGGAGTCGCGAGTGCGACTGAGGAGTAACGGGCCTCATCGTAGTGGCCTGTCGATTGTGGTAGGGAGATGCGCGCGACTCTGGAGTAGTGTGGCGCACGGCAGTGGGGTGATGCGCGCGACGCTCGAGTAGTGGGGCGCGGCGTATTGGTGGGGACTGGGGTATAAGTTACGGAGCGCGGGCCACAAGCATCAGTTGCATCTTGAATGGTGCAGCAGACTACTTTCAGGGTTCCAGAGTTCTTAGAATTTTCAGAGTTTTCAAAGTAATTTTCAGAGACAATTTTCAGAGTTTTTTTTTCGTTTTTAATTTAGGAGTTATTGATTTTTTATTATAGGTTTTTTTTATTTTGTGTTCTATTTTGCATTAGTTTTAAGGTGGTGGTGGATTTTTTTCTATTTCAGGGTTTGTTTAGTTTTAAGTGTGTGTTTTTTCAGGTTTTGTTTAGTTTTAAGTGTGTTTCTTTAGTTTATTTACAGGATTTTTTTTAAATTTAGCATTTAAGATGCCAAAGTGCAGACCACCAAAAAAGTCTCGACAACGAATCCTCATCGATGAGTTTAACGAAGTTTGTCAGGAGTCTGACAATTTTATTAAATGCGCTGAATGTAAACTCATCAATGTAATGTCAATGACTGGTGATGAAAAATTGAATGCTGCCTGTGAATGGCAAAACAAATGTCAGTGATTTATGAACATTTTCAGGAAATTTTTGCATAACTCTGATTTCTCTTCATCCCAAAGATCTAGGTGCCTAAATTTAAGTCAAAAATTAGAATACTTGCGTTGTCATTTTGATTTGTCAATGAAACAAGGTGCGGGTGTGCAAGTATCGAATGATAGAGTGAAATGGGTTGATATTGAAGCAGCATTTGATGAACGGTTGCAAACTAGTGCTATTATAAATTCAGATTACAAGGACATTAATGAGTTCCTTGATGATGCCTTTGCTTTGTTTAAAATTAATATTCAAAAAGCTTTAAACCGTTATGGTCCGTTGAAAGTGTATACCGTTTTGGGGGGAAAATTTGTAAAAGATTCGATTGATGGTAAACAAGAAATGTCTGATCTTAAGACATTTATCGCGAAAATCTACAAAATGCTGATCAACAATGTTTTAAATGGTCAGTTTTGTCTGCTCTTCATCCAATTGAAAACAATGCACATCGAGTTTCTAAGTATGAGATGTATAAAGACGAACTTAATTTTACAGGAATTAATTTCCCTGTTTCACTTAAAGATGTTCCAAAATTTGAATCTCTAAATCAAAATATTTCAGTAAACGTATACGGACTCTCAAAAAATGATGAAAAATTCAATGTTTATCCATTACATCTCACATCACAGAAAAAACAGCAACATATTAATCTCTTACGTGTTGAAGATCATTACATTGATGAAAGCCTAAGTGAAGAAGAAGACGATCTAACAATCCTTTCTTTTAACTACCACTATGTTTGGATCAAAGACTTATCCAAGCTCGTTGGATCCCAATTGTCAAAGCATAGGTCTAAAAAATACATTTGCGATCGTTGCCTCCATTATTTTGGAAGTGATTTGATGCGTACCGAACACGAAGAAAATTGTAGGAAGATGAACGATACCAGAATTAGGCTGCCGAATCCTGGGAAAAATTTTGTCGAGTTTAAAAATTTTGATAGCAAGGAGCGCGTACCTTTTATCATTTACGCGGATTGTGAGAGTCTTTTAATTCCTGCAGATTCACCTCAAGAAGAATCCAATACTGTCGTGATTCAAAATCATAAAACACTCAGTATTGGATTTTATGTAAAATGCGGCTTTGATGACACTTTGTCTATATACAAAGCATCTCCTCGAGATGAGGAAAATCCTGCTAAATGGTTTTCAAAAGAGCTTAAAGACTTGGCTGACAATTTAGACATTAGATTTCAGAATCCTGTACCTATGGAAGTATTAAGTTTACAACAGCTGACTGATTTTAGATATGCAAGTACATGTCATATTTGTAAAAAGAAATTTGCTCATAGTGATATAAAAGTACGAGACCATTGTCATCTAACCGGAAAGTATCGGGGCCCTGCACATCAAGATTGTAATATTAACTATCATGAATCGTCGACCATACCTGTTGTATTTCATAACCTTAGTGGTTACGATGCTCATTTTATCATCAAAGCTATTGCTACCGAGTTTGACGGTAAAGTTGATCTTCTTCCCATTAATAAAGAAAAGTACATCAGTTTTACAAAGAATATAAAGGGTAGTTCAATAAAATTTCGTTTTATTCACTCTTTTAAGTTTATGGCATCATCATTGGACAAGTTAGCTTCCTATCTCGATGAATATAAAATTGTAAATTTCGTATTTTCAAATTACAGCGACGACAAAATTAAATTGTTAACGAGAAAAGGAGTTTTTCCTTATGAATACATTGACTCTAGGGAAAAGCTCGACGAAACAGAATTACCACCTAAAGAAAAATTTTACAGCACTTTGAACGATTCAAATGTTTCAGATGAAGATTACGCACATGCGCAGAAAGTGTGGAGTGAGTTTAATTGTCAGAATCTAGGTGATTATGTGTTCTTGTACATGAAAACGGATATTTTGTTACTTGCGGACATTTTTGAAAATTTCAGGGATCAGTGTTAATTAGCATATGGTTTAGATGCAGCACACTATTATACTACACCGGGTTTGACTTGGGATGCAATGCTGAAGTATACGAATATAAGAGTGGAACTCCTCACCGACATCGACATGGTAATGTTTATTGAACGCGGAATAAGAGGTATGATTAGTCAGTGCACTAATAGTTACGCTAAAGCAAATAATCATTACATGGAAAAATATGATGAGAATGAGGAAACATCTTATATCGTATACTTTGCCGCAAACAACTTGTACGGTTGGGCAATGATTCAACCGCTTCCGCATGGTGGCTTCGGGTGGGTTGAAAATATTGACAATGATTTTGATTTTAACATTTCAGATGATGGACCAATTGGGTACATCTTGGAAGTTGACCTGGACTATCCAGATCATCTTCATGATAAACATAGCGACTTTCCATTTTGCCCTGAACGCTTGAAGCCACCAGGGTCAAAAGAGGAGAAGCTCCTAACTACCCTCCTACCGAAACGAAAGCACGTTCTCCATTATCGTGCCTTAAAACAAGCTATTGCCAACGGTCTCGTCTTAGTTAAAATTCATCGCGTCATAAAATTCGAACAATCCACATGGTTGAAAAGTTACATTGACTTTAATACCTTGCAGAGAACAAATGCTAGTAACGAATTCGAGAAAAACTTATTCAAACTAATGAATAACGCGGTATTTGGAAAAACAATGGAGAACGTGCGAAAACATGTAGATGTTAAACTCGTGACAAAGTGGGAGGGTAGATATGGAGCTGAAGCACTTATCTCCAAACCTAATTTTCACAGCAGAGCCATTTTTAATGAGAATTTAGTTGCTGTTGAACTTAGGAAAATGGAAGTTTTGATGAACAAACCTTTGTATGTTGGCTTGACTGTTTTGGATGTGTCAAAAACGCTTATTTATGATTTTCACTACGATTACATGTTGAACAAGTATGATGAAAAAAATTTAAAATTATTGTACACCGACACCGATAGCCTGATTTATGAAATCAAGTGCTCAGACATTTACGCCGATATGAAACAAGACATTATGAAATTCGACACTTCTGATTATCCGGTTAATAACGTGTAGAATATTCCGCAAGCCAACAAAAAGATATTAGGTCTCATGAAGGATGAATGCTGCGGAAAAATTGTAACAGAATTTGTTGGCTTGCGGAGCAAAATGTACAGCGTCCGTGTAGAAGGAAAAGATATTATAAAAAAGGCTAAAGGTGTCAAAGCAGGAGTTGTTAAGAAAAATATTAATTTTGACGATTATGTTTATTGTTTACGAAATGTTGAAATGCAATCTAGAACGCAATATTCAATTAGGTCGAATCTTCACAAAGTACAAACTTTGAAACAAACGAAAATTGCACTAAGTGCTTATGACGACAAGAGATACTTGATAGAAAAAAGCACCGACACCCTCGCATGGGGTCATTGTAAAATTATTGAAATTGACGACGAAGAAAATAAACTTATGTAAAAAGATTTGTTACAGAAAGGAGAAAGAAATGGTTGTTTGAATAAAAAGATTTTCAATTTATTTTATGTCTACTTTATTAGAAAAAACCTTAACCTATTTACATTAACTTATTTTAACTATATTTTAACTTATTTCAACTTATTTTAACTATATTTTAACTTATTTTAACTTTTTTAACTATATTTTAACTTCTTTTAACTATATTTTAACTTTTTTTTTTTTAACTATATTACATATCAGATTTTTTATCCAACTATTATGTGAGCTATCGAATCCAAGCCATTTCACGTATACATCATTACCACGAGTCTTGAGAACTTTTTCTACAAGGTAAACATCTGGATATTGGACTTTCAGCAATTCTTCTTCGTAGAAACCACCTTCGATGGGTTGATTTTGGTAATCTTTCAGCTTGTATGTAACTGGTTTTGTTGATTTAACTTTATCCACGGTGAATATTTCTGTTGTCCAGTTGGGAGTATATCCTTTTTCAAAAACATTTTTAAACTTGCTAACTCGAACTCTGTCTCCAACTTTGAATTTTGATCTTCTCAGCGGAATTCTACGTAGTTTACGGATACGTCTCAGCAGTTCTCTTGTATCTTCTACGGTGACATCTTTGGGTTTCATACCAATAGTACGATGCTTTTTATTATTGTACTTTGTCATGAGAGTTGGTAAAAGATTAATCCATTTATAATTGCCTTGCAAGCTGAATTCAGGCCACATCATATTTTTTAGAGTGCGGTTAAATCTTTCAACAATTGAGGCTTTCAAATTACTATAGGTAGAATAGAGATTAATGTTAAATTCTTGCATTAAACTCTTAAATTCAGAATTGTAAAATTCTTTTCCTCTATGAGTATGCAAATTTTTTGGAATTCGGCCTTGTTTGAGAATAGTTTTCATGGCCAAAGAAATATCTTTTCCATTCTTACTCTTTACAGCTACAGCCCAGGCATATTTGGAAAATATGTCTATAACTGTGAGCATGTATTTGAAACCTTTATTAGAATAAGAATAAGGTATCATTTCAACTAAATCTGCTTGCCAGGTTTCATCTATACCACGCATTTGAACTTTTCGACGAGGATAATTTTTTCTAGCTTGTTTATGCAGTTCAGATACAACTGTTAATTTTGGATCATCCATCACTGTTGAATAAATTTAGCCTCTTTGATGATATAATTTTGCTGTGATTCAATTTCTTTAAGTTTTTCGTTCACCCTATCCTCGATAATTCGGATATAAAGATTCAAATCATCAATAGCTGATCTTAAAGAAGATGTAATTTGAAAAACTGTTTTTATCTCGTTTTTAATAATTTTCTGTGCAAGTCTTAAATTTACAGCGTCTCGTTGCTCTTCAGCGTCTTGAACGTTGCAAAGTCTTTTGTTATCAATGTCGTATTGTTCACTTGGAGTAATTTTAAAACCAATTCCAGAAGGTCCAGGAAGTCCACGACTTGCAAGAGGCCGTGACAAGGGATTTCCAAACACATCAATGCTCATTTTAATACTAAGCTCTATTTGCTTGTACTCTCCTAATATATAATGCGAGCTTCACGTAGTTCTTCGATGATTGACATAATTTCATTATTATGGCTTGGATTACCAGCTTGCTGTGATGCTACTAGCAGGCGTAATCGGTCAACTAGTTCATTGGGATCATCCCAATAGATGTAGTCTGGGTTAAATTGTTTCTTTGAAATCATAAATTGAGGTAATTTCTTTCCAAACTTCTTCTTCTTCTTCTTCAAAACACCACTACCCTTTTTTGGCGTACCCTTAAAAAGTTTTGAAATGACAACAGTGTATTTAGAACTCCTGGTTACGTTGACAAGTCCACTGGAACTATAATTTTTTCGGTGTGCATTTGTAGCTACAAGAATTTCTTTATAATTTTCCAAATCATCTGAACTTATTAATGCAGGATTAGGTTCTTGTCGAAATAAAAGTTCAAGCAACCCAGCAGTTTTTAAATATTTTTTCATTCCAGCAAGTTGAATATGTGAACCTTCTAAATCAACTGGTGTATCACCAATAATAAAAGAACCATTAGGAAGCTTACGTACTCCATAAACCATATCTAAAAAACTTTTCCTATTTTTATTCAATAATTGAATAAACTTATTTGTCAAATTTTCATAATTAAGTTCTTCTCCTTCTTCTTCAAAGTTGTTGCTCTTATCAAGTAGAGTGTCATTGTGTAGTGTTTTATCAAATTCCTCTTCCTCATCAACAGCAGTTGAGAGAGAAAACTCATTTTCCTCCTTTTTAACTTTTTCTTTTTAAATATTTTTGAAAGGTATGTCAGTTATGTTCACCAACTTTTCCAGAGGTGTTACTATTGGTTGAAAAGTTTCTTTCAATACTGTTTCTGCAGCCTCTTTACCCATTTTGAGTAAACGATGTTTCCGCCTAATAGCATCACTTCCTTTTGCTATTTGACGAAGCGTTTCTTGCTCTTTTCGATACATGTTTTCTTCGAGACAATATAAACTATACTAATTAAAAATTCAATGAACTTCTTGTATTTATAGTGAAATGAAGCAATCAAATCCTCTTCTATATCTTCCTTCATTAAAATTACGGTCCTTATCAATAACAACAAATCCATATTTGTCAGATTTCCAACATTCTGAACATAAATCGCGAAATTGAGTATAACTCATATCTGTATTAACATAATCTTCGTATACATGTTTCAGATTCTTTTCATCTTGTCTAAATAGAACCAATAAATTAACATTATCTCGAACTAGATGTTTAGGAATACGAGCATACGTTTGACATAAATAGAAACTGTCAACATTTACATGTCTGCCCATACAAAAGAAAGCTCTAACATTATCTTGCTTTTCACAAGCAATGTCATCAAAAACGAATATTGAATTTGCTTTAGCATCTTTTGGAGATACTACTTCTTCATGTTCACTAAATGGAAAATACTCAACACCATCTACCTGACTGATTACATTTTCTAAAAATTTATATTTCGGTTGCTGTAGAGATTTAGAGTAGAGGTAAATATTTTCAAAACTTAGACCATTTGGATGTATTATTAGGGAAAGAAGAGCATTTGTTTTACCACAATTTGAGGGGCCACAGAAAACTGCTCGAATGCTGTCTAAAAACAGACTACCGTGACGTTTAATCTTTTTTTCATTAGTTTCAACATCTATACTAGAGATTGGCAGTGCGACAGGTTGTTTCGTGAACTGCATCTTGACAGTAACTGCTCGAAAATCTATAAATACCTAGCTTTTATAGTCAATTTGTCAGTTTCACGTCAACCATTGTAGAGTGAAGTATGATTCTGCATCAGGAGGTGAAAAAAGGTCGCTATCAAGGAAAAGGTTTAATCAATCGTATCATCAATAGTTTACCGTTTGAGTTACATTTACCAGGATACCAATTCTGTGGGCCTGGTACAAAGTTGGCTAAGCGTTTGTCACGAGGTGACCAAGGAATTAATCCACTGGACGCTGCATGTAAACAACACGACATTGCTTATTCGCAAAATCGTGAAAATATTCAAGCTAGAAACGAAGCAGATAAAGTATTAGCTAAGAGAGCTTGGGAACGTGTTACAGCTAAAGATTCTGGTGTAAGTGAAAGAGCAGCTGCTTTAGCTATATCCGGAACTGTGAAAGCTAAATCAAAGTTAGGCATGGGAATGAGAAGAAGAAGAAAATCATCTATAAAGAAGAAGAGTAAAACAATGTGTAAGAAGAAGCAAATAGCGCTAAGAAAAATTGTTGATGCTGCACGAAAAAGTATGGCTTTTGGTAATAATGCTGAAGAATCAATTCGATCAGCTATAGTTGGTGCACGAAAAGCAATAAAAAATGTTGGTGGTAAATCCAAAATTTTATCACCTAGAATTCTTCCTGTACCTACTAAAGTAGGTGGAATTTTACCGCTAGTTCCAATTTTTGCTGGACTTAGTGCTTTAAGAGCACTTGCTGGAGGAGCTTCAGGAATAGCAAGGGCTGTTAATAAGGCTAAAACAGCTAGCGAACAACTTGCAGAAGCTCAACGTCACAATAGATCCATGGAAGCCATATCGCTTGGAAAAGGATTACACCTTAAACCTTATCGACAAGGACTTGGTCTCCACTTAAAACCCTACATTCAAGGAAAAGGAATTAAAAAACGAGCATCAAGAAAGAAGAAGAAGAAACGAGCATCAAGAAAAAAGAGAACTACAAGAAGGAAAACAAAAAACTTGTTTTGAAGCTACCTCACCGTCCACTAACTGATTTTGATCTGTTAAAGTATGCCAAAGCTGTCAAAATACCTCATTTTCGTGGTATTTTTATGCGAAATGAACTACCTGTAAGTGGTCCTCACCAGTGTGAATCAGGAATAATTAATCTTGATAATAAAGAAGGTGCTGGAACACATTGGGTAGCATATAAAAAATTTAATAATGAAACAATGTATTTTGATAGTTTTGGCAACCTTGCTCCACCAACAGATCTTGTTATTTACTTGGGTGATGGTAGCTTAATAAAATATAATCTTAAAAGATATCAAAATTATGATACATTTGTATGTGGACACTTGTGTCTCAAATTTTTGTGTAATCAACTAAATATTAAGAGTTGTTTTAACCTTTATAAGACTATGTAACACCTGTAAGCTTTCAGTATAAAATCTGACAGCAACATGAGTGATTCGTTTACTTTAACGTTAACAGGAAATTCTTCAGTTCTGGGAGCTGAATATTTCCCTCCAATAGAACTAAATTCAAATAAAAGTTATGTACTTGGTCTTGTTGAACTATTGACTTTTAATTCAATTCCCAATATTGATAAAGGAAATAACAAGTTTTACGTTGGAAATCAAGTAATTGATATTCCAACTGGAAGTTATGAAATTAAAGATATTGAATCATATTTACAAAATTCTGTAAAAACTGGAACTGTTATTACTATAAAACCTAATAATAATACATTACGCAGTATTGTTGAATCTAATTTACCAATTGATTTTAAACCTAAAGATTCGATTGGTAAGTTGTTGGGATTTACATCGCAGAAACTATCATCTCATAGAGCACATATTTCTGATTTACCTGTAGCCATTTTAAAGGTTATTTCAGTTAGAATTGAGTGCAACATAACATCTGGAGCGTATATAAATAACCAAAAAGTTCACACTATCCATGAATTCTTTCCTAGCGTTCCACCAGGATATAAGATTGTGGAAGTGCCTGCACACGTCATTTACCTTTCGATTGCCACCAAGACAATACATAATATACAGCTGCGAATTGTCGATCAGGACGGTGATTTAATCAATTTTAGAGGAGAAACTATAACAATTCGATTGCATATAAAGTCTTTGTAATGGGAATCGTTTATAATCAAAGAGCTGTTGTTGGTGGAAACTATAAAAGTCAGCCAACATGCAAGAATCCAATCAGTCTAAATTTATCTCACAAGGTGTTAACACCTCAGAATCGCCTCTTCCTGCAAGAACTAGGTCTAAAAGTTCAAGGAAAGAAAATAAGACAACAAGACAATTAATCTACATATTTTTTGGTTGCTGTTGCAATAAAAATGGACGAACTTCTCAATATTCCAGCAGCAGTGAATTTCGATGAGTCAATAGCTCATTATGAAATTCATGCTCATCAACCATACGCATCTTCATCTTTTAACAATAGCGATGAAATTCGAATCGCAGTACAACATCAAGACTTGTGCATTTTACCTAGTAAAAGTTCATTACACATTTTTGGTATATTAACTAAAAATGTTGGAATTACTCTTACACAAAACGTACATTTAAGTAATAATGCTGTATGTTTTTTGTTTGATGAAATTCGCTATGAACTAAATGGTATTGAAATTGATTGTTGTAAATACGTTGGACATACTACAATCATGAAAAATTACACCTCGCAAACATCAAATCAGCTAAATTTTATTGAAAATGCTGGATATTCAAAAATTGCAGCTGATGCAAGACTTGTATTGGAAAATGGATATTTTGACGTCACAATACCACTCAGCATGATTTTTGGTTTTGCTGAAGATTATAAAAAAATCATTATGAACGCTAAACATGAACTTATTTTAACAAGAGCACGTTCTGACGTGAATGCCGTAATTCAAACAGGACAAGGAGGGGATGAGGAATTCAAAATTTCCATCAATAAACTTGAATGGATGGTTCCATACGTTTTACCTTCTGACAATAACAAAGTTAAATTGTTAAAATTTATTGAAAAGGATCCATTAATTTCAATAAGTTTTAGGTCGTGGGAAATGTATGAGTATCCTTTAATTCCTACAAGTTCAAAAGTTTTGTGGCAAATTAAAACATCAACGCAATTAGAGAAACCTCGTTATGTTATTGTTGGATTTCAAACAGCGAGGAAAGATAAACGAAAAAAATATGCCTGTCATTTTGACCATTGTAATATTATAAATGTTAAACTTTTTTTAAATTCACAATATTATCCTTATGGAAATTTAAATCTAAACTTTGATCAAAATCAGTACTCTCTACTTTATGAAATGTACGCTAATTTTCAATCATCCTATTATGGTAAAGATTCAAAACCTATTTTAACAAAGGATATTTTTAAAAGTCTATTTCCTCTAATTGTTATTGATTGTTCTAAAGAAAACGAGTTTTTAAAACAAGCATCAGTTGATGTGAGGTTAGAATTTGAAGCAGGAATCAACATGCCAGCCGAGACCACCGCCTATTGCCTAATCATCCATGACCGCGTCATACAATATAAGCCAATCAGCGGCGTTGTAAAGAAACTATTGTAAAGGAGTGGGGATAATGTGGTAGTGGTGGGGGTGATTACTATAAAAGCAGCTGCTCTCGGCTAGAAATTAATTTCTGCTTCAAAAATGGAGCTTATCGTAGACGTTCAAGGTTTTAAAAGAGCCAACAACGAGTTTGTCTTTAATAAGAGTTGGCAATACTTCCTCTTCAACCAGATGCACAGCCTCTCGTCTACCTTTTTGAACCTCCTTGTCCTTGGAATTCACTGCTACAAAAGTGAAAATCTTTGGCTAACACATAATTACCATGGGATTGATTGGACTGCAGGAGACGTACCATACGATGAACTTCAATCTATTCTACAAGGAATCCTGCGAGGTGCTAGTGCCATCTACGTCAAAGGATTAGAAAAGAAAAATTGGCTAGAGAAATACTTACTAAATGTACAAAATTTAGAAGATTTTAATTGTCCATCGTTGAAAAAACTGGAAACTAAATTATTGTTAACGACTTGTAAACATCATACTCTTTATATCGAAAATTGTGCCGCAAAAAAATGTTAAACTTCTTCAAGAATGGTTTTTGGAACCTCCAAACCAATATATAAGTGCTATTTCTAATGGAATTGATGAAACTGACTCTACAATTAATACTACTACTTTAAAATCTTTCTACGAAAATTGTGAATCTTTTTTGTAAATATAGTTTTAAGTTTTCAAAAATAAATATTAATTTAAAACAATGTTTCTTATTTAAAAAAATAACCTATCCTTTAAATATTTTTATAATTCTTGAAAATAAAACTAATTCTAATTCTGAAAAATAACTTATACTAAGAGGAGAAGGAAATTAAATTTAAAACCAATTTATAGGTAAAACTTTGTGTGTTTATTTTTGAAAAATTTTTCCAATATATATACATTTCTTTACAATTTATTATAATAATTTAAATTCAACAACATTATACGATCCTCCAAGATACTTCATTTGAAGTTTTTTCGATATCGCAGCTTCTTTCATCATTTCCAAGGTGGTTGGTTCATCCTCGAAGAGCTTGATGAATCTCGTTGGTAAGTATGTGACGAAATCAGCATCAATCTCAACTATAATCCTAGGTCCATATTTGGTCTGGACCTTCTTCATTTTCGTGACATAGTAAAGTCCATCTTTCATCAATTCCGCTAACGGTTTCGTCGGTAGGTATCCTTCAAAACGCCCAACAGAGTTGACTTTTTCTAGATCCATTTTTTTTTAAAAACTAGTAAGAAACCTTAAACAAAGAAGAGAAAACAAAGAACTGAAATTAAAATAAACCTGTAATGATAAAAGAATAATTTAAAAATTAATATAAAGCTGAAAAAGACTTAAAAAATATATCTGAAAAAACATAGAAAATATATATCTAGAAAAAGAATCTTCGAAAATATAGCTGAAAAAGACTTTGAAAATATATCTGAAAAAAACATAGAATATTTATATATATCTAAAAAAGAAACTTAGAAAATATAGCTGAAAAAAAAGACTTTGAAAATATATCTGAAAAAACATAGAAAATATATCTAGAAAAAGAAACTTAGAAAATATATCTGAAAAAAGATTTTGAAAATATATCTGAAAAATAAACTTAGAAAATACAGCCAAAAAAAGGAACTTAGAAAATAAAGCTGAAAAAAGTCTTTGAAAATAGATAATTTATTAAACTTACTGCTAATTCAAAACCTGAAATAATAATGACTTGATGGCTTTAAAACTCGCCTTATATTGCTGCAATCCCCACTCTTTCTCTAACCCCACTACACTTTCAAATGCGCACGCAAATTATCCCCACTATTCACTGCGCACGCAGAAATACCCCCCACCTCTATAATTATGTTAAAAGTAAGTGAAATAATAAATGCGTAAATTTCAAAAATATGTACTTTTATTTTGAAAATTAAACTAGTTTTGAGGCTCATCTTCGAAAAGCTCCAACATCTAAAAATTAAAGATTTTATTAAAGTTAATTTAAATTAGATTGATATTTTTAAAAGTTAATTTAAAATAAAAATTATTAACTAACTTCCTGAGGATCGAGGTCAATTATTAAAACGTCATCATCATCATCGCCGATATAATCATCATCGTCGCTTAAGATGATTGTTTCCCCCTGGCTGTCATACCCATCATCATTATCATCCTCATCCTCATCATCTTCATAATTGTTGTCGGCGTATTCATCAAAAATATGAATGACTAAATCATCATCTTCATAATTGTTGTCGGCGTATTCATCAAAAATATGAATGACTAAATCATCATCAACAACTTCTTCCATACTTTGGTTCATATCGATTGGATCCATTTTGTTATAATTTTCTAAAATGTTATTGATTTAATTATTTAATTATGTAGATGAAATAAAAGCAAAGAGAAAAGAATAAAGAAGATAAATAAAAAGAATAGAAAAAATATGAATTAAGTAGAAGAAGACAATATATAGAAACTAGAAAAGAGAAATAAAAACTAGAAAAAATATAAAGAAAAAATCAGAAAAGAGTGAAATAGCTGAAAAATTAAATTAAAGGAATTAACTAAAAAACAAGGGAAGTGAAAATTGAAATTAAAATAAGAAGTTACTGGAAAAAAGAGAAATAACTACAAAAGAAACAAAAAAAACACATAAGGAAAAAATCGAATTGAAAGAAAGAAATATTTGGAAAAGAAAAATAAAGGCAAAAAATAAGAAAAGTAAAACTGAGATAAAAGAGTGAAATAGCTGAAAAGTCAAATTAAAGAAGTAACAAAAAATATGAAAATTAAAACTATTAAATAAGAAAAAAGAGAAATTTAAATTAATTCCTAAAAAGAGAAATTAAATCTAAACTAAATGAGAAATTTAAAATAATTCCTAAAAAGAGAAATTAAAACTAAAATAAATGAGAAATAAAAGACAGAAAAATTGAATTAATAGAAATAACCACAGAAAAGAAAAATAATTCCTGAAATAACTATGCAGAGAAATGAAATAAAGAGAAATAAAAACTAGAAAAAAATAAAATGAAATAATTGCTAAAAATCTAAAACAGAGAATAACTAAGAAAGTGATGAGCTGGAGCAGAGAAATAGAGAAAATATCTGTAAGAGTGAAAGAAAGAGAGAGAAAGTCTGAAAAAGACATGGAAAAGCTAGAGAGGAGAAAACCTGAAAGAGAAACCTACGACGTTGCAAGCTGAAAGAAGAATGACTTTGGTGGCTGGCGCACCGCACTCATTCACTGTGGCGATCCCCACCACGGCGCTCCCCACTATGCATCGCTACAGTAATGAAAGCAGCATCTCCATGCGGCCATCTGCGTAACAAGTCTCGATTCGCGCGAACTTTAAATAGTTAATTAAACCATATTTATAATAGGTTAAAATGAATTTATATAAATAGTAATTAGTTCTGTAATATTATGTAAACATGTAATATTAAATTAAATAATGTTTGAAACAAACAAACAAACTTTGTCTTCTTTTATAATCAAAACTTGATATATTCAACGTGTTTTTATAAAGAAGACTTGAAAAAATTCAGCATTTTATTTTACAAAATATTTTTAAAATGCTTTGAAGAATTTCAGCAAATCTAATAACTATGTTTAAAGTAAACAAACATTTTTCTTCTTTGAAGAACACAATTAAACTTTTAAACGGTAAAAAAGTACACAATCTTTTTAACATTTTTCATGTTTGAAATAGACAAACATTTTCTTCTTTTATAATCGGCACTTTGAATGTTGAACGTGCTGTTAACAGAAGTAATTTTTTTTTTAAATAAATGCTGAATTTTTTCAAGTCTTCTTTATAAAAACACGTTGAATATTAGCAAATCAAAAACTATGTTTGAAACAAACATTTTTTTTTTTAAGAACCAATACTTTAAAATTTTTTCTTTAGAACCCTCAAATGAAATAAGATCAAGATCCATGTGTAAAACATTTTAGGTATAAAAAAGAAAGATCAAATTATTTTGAAAAAGCAAACTGAGAAGAAACTTATTTTCCTTTTTTTTCAGGATTTTGTTTATCAGAAGAAGATTTTCTTCTCTTCCCACTTGTTGGGATTTTTGATTGATGACCAATTCTTCTCTTCTTTACACATGGATCTTGATCTTGATCTTGATCAATAATAATGGTTTTTGATTGTGGTGGCGGCTTTGAAATTGAAGCAATCGCTGCAGCTAGTTGATTTGCTTCATTCGAAGCCTTAGATGTAGAAGGTGTTGAAGTAGGTTGTTTTTGTGAAGCAGGTGGTTTTGATGTAGAAGGTTTTGGCGAAGCAGGCTTTTTTGACGTAGATGGTGAAGCCGATCGTCTTGAGATCAACGAGCTCGATGAAGAAGTTGAAGCAGAATCTGAAGAATCTTCTTCAGAACAAGATTTTACTGTCGATGCGTGTACTTCGACACTTTCAATTTTCCTTTCGATTGGTGTAGGAATATATTGTAAATTTTCCATTGTAGCAGATGGCTTAATGGAACTCCACCTCGTTGACAACCTGGATGCATTTTTCTATTAAATTAAATTAAATTTTTTATTATTAAAAATTAACCTTTTCCTATTAAATTTTTATTATTTTTCATTTCTTTTATTTTTTATTATCTTAATTTTAATTTAATTTTAATTTTATTAATTAATTAATTATATAAATAAATTTTTTTATTATTAAAAATTAACCTTTTCCTATTAAATTTTTATTATTTTTCATTTATTTTATTTTTTATTATCTTAATTTTAATTTAATTTTAATTTTATTAATTAATTAATTATATAAATAAATTTTCTTTTTCAATACTCACGTCTTGCTGTTGATATTTGTGGCCAGAGTATATCACTGGTTGTTGCTGTTGCTGTGGATTTTGTTGTTGCTGTGGATGTTGTTGTTGCTGTGGATGTTGTTGTTGCTGTGGATTTTGTTGTTGCTGTGGAAATTGTTGTTGCTGTGGATATTGTTGTTGCTGTGGATGTGGTTGTTGAGGACCTGACATATTCCATGGTTGGTTCCTGGAATTATTCCATGGTCTCTGATGTTGATTACCAGGATGTATTTGTCTTTGATTTCCAGTAGGATAAACTGTTGGCCGTTGATGCGGAACGTGTTGATCATGAGGCAACTGGTGAAATTAGGAATAATATTTAGAATAAAATTTAGAATAAATTGAAAATAAAATTAAGAATTAAATTTAGAATACAATTAAAAATAAAATTTAGAATAAAATTTAGAATAAATTAAGAATAAAATTTAGAATACAATTTAGAATACAATTAAAAATAAAATTTAGAATTAAATTTAGAATACAATTAAAAATAAAATTAAGAATTAAATTTAGAATACAATTAAAAATAAAATTTAGAATTAAATTTAGAATACAATTAAAAATAAAATTAAGAATAAATTTAGAATACAATTAGAAATAAAATTTAGAATAAAATTTAAAATAAATTGAAAATAAAATTAAGAATAAATTTAAAATACAATTAGAAATAAAATTTAGAATAAAATTTAGAATAAATTGAAAATAAAATTAAGAATAAATTTAGAATACAATTAAAAATAAAATTTAGAATAAATTGAAAATAAAATTAAGAATAAATTTAGAATATTTTGATATTATATTTGTGTTTAAAAATATTTGATAGGTACACAAGATTCCTTGAATGACCGCTAAACTGTTGAAGGGTATACAAAGTTGTCTTTTTTCAGATGGAAAAAAAATCTATATACCTATTCAGAGGTTAAATTTACTATCAGATATTTTTCAAAATATAGAATTATATTATAAAACCATTATAAATTTAGTAATAAATATTTTATCACATGAGGGAAATTATCTTTATATTTTAATGAAATATTTTAAAAGACTTTGTTAAAACAACATAAAAATTAATTTACAGATAGATGCAAATTAGGTTAATTTTCAATGAAAATTGTTTTAAAATCTACTATTATTATTATTATTATTATTATTATTATTATTATTATTATTATTATTATTATTATTATTATTATTTATATAAGTATTAATTTTTTTACTTACAAATTGAGAAAGTAATTTTAAAAGAGTGCACAGACAACAGCTACCACACAAGTTTCGGTTTTGAAAGGAATTCTGGAAGATAAAGCAATTTTGTTAAAATCTTTGAAATTTTTAAAAGTATAATTCAATTTTATTGTTACCATCTTGTAACTTGTATAATAATAATAATTATTTTATTAATTCTGTAAATATTATACAAGATACTTACCATTTTTACTCTGCTGTATATCACCGTCTACCGGCAAAACCAAACCGCATGTGACTAACTGTTCGCAATCAGAACACTGCTGCCAACTTCACATAACCTACATAGAAACGTTCTCTTCTATTCTCTCCTATTTCTAAAGCAGCGCTGTGATCCAATCGGACAAAATTCCACAAACAAATGAAAGTCAATCTATATTACTTAAAAGCTTTAAACCTCATAAATTAACAAAATAATGTACTGTACATTAAAAACCATCAATGCTTTTAAAAAAATAGAGAGAAAAAAATAAATTCTTGTGTCAGCTGTTCTCTCGACAGTCTTTGAACTTAATTTCTATTTTTGTAAGTTATAAACATTTGAATTTCTCACAAAAGCAATTTTTAATTCGCTAATAGCACCATCTACCGAAGGCAGCCCAAATTAAAAATGTTGGTAAATTGGGTGGGAAAATTTAAACCACTTCTAAGCAATTTGATATTAACAAATTAAATTTAAATTTCCCACCAAGAGAATATAAATTTTAAAAATGAAGCCATCTAGCGGTAGCAGCCGGTACTAAAAATGTCGGTAAATTGAGTGGGAAAATTTAAAACACCACCAAGCCACTTGAAAGTTTAAAAATAAAAATTCAAATACCCCGCCAAGGGGGTTTGAATTTAACGGTGGCGCCATCACTCGGTGGCAGCCAGATGTCGGTAAAGTAGAACACCCCCTCTAAGCCACTTGAAAATTCAAAAATAAAAATTTAAATATACCGCCAAAGGGTTTAGAATTTAACGGTGGCGCCATCAAGCGGTGGCTGCCGGTACTAAAAACTCGGCCGGTAAAGTAGAACACCCCCTCTAAGCCACTTGAAACTGTCCAATTAAGAAATCTACTTTACCGACCGTGGGTAAGTGTTCCAGGATCCCCATAGCTCTACTACTGTTACGCATGCGCAGTAGTATTCTGTCAATATTACGCATGCGCAGTAGTGTTCTGTCAATATTACGCATGCGCAGTAGTGGTCTGTCAATGTTACGCATGCGCAGTAGTGGTCTGTCAATGTTACGCATGCGCAGTAGTGGTCTGTCAATGTTACGCATGCGCAGTAGTGTTCTGTCAATGTTACGCATGCGCAGTAGTGTTCTGTCAATGTTACGCATGCGCAGTAGTGTTCTGTCAATGTTACGCATGCGCAGTAGTGTTCTGTAAAATGTTACGCATGCGCAGTAGTGTTCTATCACTATAACGCCTGCGCAGTATTGTTCTATCAGTATCACGCATGCACAGTAGTGACCTATCACTATAACGCATACGCAGTAGTGTTCTATCAGTATCAAGCATGCACAGTAGTATTCTATTAGTATCAACTATGCGCAGTAGTGTTCTATGAATATCAGGCATGCGCAGTAGCGTTCTGTCAATGTCAGGCATGCGCAGTAGCGTTCTGTCAATGTCAGGCATGCGCAGTAGTGTTCTGTCAATGTCAAGCATGCGCAGTAGTGTTCTGTCAATGTCAGATATGTGCAGTAGTGTTCTATCACTATAACGCATACGCAGTAGTGTTCTATCACTATAATGCATGCGCAGTAGTGGTCTATCACTATAACGCATACGCAGTAGTGTTCTATTACTATAACGCATGCGCAGTAGTGTTCTATCACTATAAAGCATGCGAAGAACATTCAGAACTTCAAAATTGAATTTTTTAATCCATACACAATCTAAAAATTATTTTTCTACAATACAAAATTTCCAAAGCCCAAAATGTTTAAAATATAAAATTTCCAAAATAAGAAGTGTTAAATTGTAATGTAAGTGAAAAGAATTAGATTATTGAGTATTAAGATTTAACAATTCTATTTCTGTGTACGATATTTTTAAAAAATCATTATTATTTATGTTTTACAAAAATTTAAATAACTTCTAAAAACATGAACACTTTTAACGATCTTAAGCTTACTTTAAAGGTTATTTTCTACAGAATGGGAATTACTTGTAGACATTAACGTGTAATTTCTTCTTAGAAATTGCAGGTCGGCAAAGTTATACACAAAAATTTCAGTTTAAAATAATTTTTTGTACAAAAAAGTATCCTTCAAAAAATATAAAACATGATATGATGTAGATTTTTCAAGAAAATTTAGTAAAAAAATATGTTTGAATTTTAGAAATTATTTTTCTTGTTACCCGTTGCCTGTTAACGATCGTTGAGTAGTAAACTTCATAGCGCAAAATAAATGCAATTTCTTATGTAAATTATAAAATAAATTATTTTATATCATTATTAACACACTATTGATTGCAATTATCCTAAATTAAGTAATAAATAAATGATTATTTATTATTTTTAAATAATATAACAATTTAAAAACAAGTAAAATTTATTTTTAATTTAAGTCACATTTAGTGTATACGGGTTTTTGGAGTCGGTAAATTCGAATTTGACCTTAATTTTAAAAAATTAAAAATGGCGGACATCATTTTTGAAATTCATTTGGATTCTTATCAATTTCAGTACCTAAGGGGTTTTCAGGTCGCTGAATTCGAGTTTGACCATCATTTTTAAAACTTCAAAATGCAGGATCCAAATTGGCGGACATACTTTTTGAAAATTTTTAAAATTCATTTGGATTTTTATCAATTTCAGTATCTAATGGTATTTTGGGTCGCAGAATTTAAATTTGTCTTTCAAAATAAAAAATTATGAATTCAAAATGCGGGACGTAATTTTTTTAATTCATCCCGATTTTTATCAAATTTTGTACTCTATTCTATATCTTTTGCATTAGCTGATAAAACAAGTCATGGCCCCAGAATGTGCCGCGTGGAGGCTGCAAAGGTTTTACATTACACTTTCTGTTCTTTGTTTTTTTGTTTATATAAAAACTGTTTAAAATTTAAAAATTTTGTCCGACATATTGGATCCACCATTTTGAATTTTTTTTTGACGTCATATTTATATTCAGCGACCCCAAAAACCCTTGTATACTAAGTTTCATAAAAATTCATCTACCAGATTTTACTGAACATTTTGGGCCAATCATATGATTATTTTTCCAAACAGCGAAGGGGTTTATAAGATTGTTTCAAATTTTTTAAATTCTTTTGGTCTAAGTTTGCCAACCTGCATTTTCTATGAAAAAAGTTTCGTATATTCGCATAATTCAAGTTATTTGAATCAAATAAATATATAGATAAAAAAAATTATTTGAATGAGATAATTTTTTTTCGTGTGCTAATACTTTTACGTATGCAAATGGAAGAACATTAATTTATTTATTATTATAAATTTGGTATAAGGACTATATAAATAATTATTTGACGCAATTAAAGAGATAGTGGTCTAAATTAAGATAATTAATTATGAAAAATAATTGCATATTTGATATAAATATGGGAAATTCCACGTGGATGGCTGCTTCTTAGTTGAATTTTTGGTATTATATTTCCATTTGTGTCCAATTCTGCTCCAACGACAACTTGCTTTGTAAATGATGGATTCAAGTTGTAAATTTTTGATAATAACATTTCTCTGCATGGTACATACAACATTTTTTTTTGTCAACTACTGGTCAACTCCATCAGGAACAAACTCTATTTGATTGTAAGGTCCTCCACGATTTCTTAAATATACACCACCTCTGACAGCTTCTGCTTTCAGACTGTTGAAAAGATTTGCATCCTCTTTAAATATTTTTAGCATTCTTGGTGGTAGAAATATGTTAAATTCATTATTTATTTCAGCAACAATTTTCGGACCAAATTTCGTATCAATTTTTCGAATGTCTGTTACTTTATAGAATGCATCGATGGTTAATTCCTTTATTGTTTTGGTGACCAAGACTTTGCTTGCCTTGTTTAATTTACGAAATTCATTTTTATCACTTAAATTTAAATT